TGAATGGGCCGAGAACCAAGCCTGAGCTCCACAGACCCAAGGGGAAAAGCAAAAGCTATTTTCCTGAAATCACCAATACTGGATGTAAACTACATTTACCCATCTCTTCCGAGGTAGTTGGTGTCACGAAGCAGCTGGTGCAGACACCTGCAACCTCAGAGCAAAGGTGGCTATTGCTGACCAGTTTCAGAACAAAGGGAGATTAACTGTTAGGGATTGGAGTTATTTGCATAGAATCTATAGCATTTCCAGGCAGAAAAGGTTAAAAAAGAGGACTGACAAGGTTTAGGAACTATCTGTAGTTCAGTGAAGCTTTAAATCAAGTTAACACACTCACAACCCTTGGGGGATTTGCATAATTTCCATAATGTGCAGCATGTTTTTTGCCTCCCGATAGAAGCCATCAGTTATGTAAGCAAATTGGTTGCATAATTATGCAGATGGGAAAATAAATTTGATTGATTCAACAGAAAAGTGCACTGTTATTTCACTCGGGATTTCTTTTAACTCAGTGAGGAATAAAATAAACTGGCAGAGGTGATCGGCAGGTGACCCTGCCGGACACCAGCTCCATTGCACAGGGTCCATTTTCAACCTGAGCCAGAGCAACCCACCCCCCAGCACAAGGAATGAATTCCTACTTTTCAGCTAAAGGTCTCAACACTTACTGCTTAGGAATAACATCACTACATTCCATGAGAGTAGTGCTGTGGCTTTATCTGGCCTCAGTATTCCTTAACAGTTCCCAAGATACATTCCACTACCTCAGCAAATGGAAATCTCATTCTATACCAGACAAAATTACCATCTGAAGAAATCTGTATCTTGTCCCCTAACCGAAGAATTTTAAGCATCACCATAAGGTTGGTACAAGCAGCAACTGAGCCAGTTTCTCCTTGCTCCTGTGTCTGTTCTGATCCTCAGGCTGCAGGTATCCCAAAGTGGCATCGTTCGTCCCAGTCCCATCATGCGCAATGGCACAGAAGCTCTGAGGCCCATAATGATTTTTTTGATATTACTCATCATACTAGCAGTTTTACAAAATAGTTACAGAGAAGGTGTTAAGACTGAAAAATGTAGACCTGGGATTTGCCAAAAAACCCCACCCAAAAACCAAACCTGCAAAGATGCATCTAGAAAATGTGAAAGGACAAAAATGTGAGCTCATAATTTCCCTTAATGTGGCCGTATTTTACTAAGCTGAGGAGTATGGCATTAAGATTTTGGTAATTAAAGTTCAATTACTTCACCAGGGACATGCAATTTTTTCTCCTCACGTGAAACTCTTACCAATATCCATTAGAATTCTGCAGCGAATTGAGCACAGCCCATAGACCTTGCTCCAGCCTCTACTCGAGGCTGTTGTTCAAACTGGAAGCTGGCCAGGTCCACAGCCAGGAGTTCCAGCCCAAGTTATTCATGAGCATTTGCCACATTATGTGCTGTGGAGTGGTGAAAAATTGTGCCAAGTTTTCCAAACAACTTTATTCTATTTTAGTTAAAAGAAACTGTCCATACCTAACAAAAAGTAATCCTTCCAACAGCATCCCTTACACTCTTGGAAATGAAAATGGCAGAAAGATTTTAACGAAGGGGATTTGCCAGGCACCTAACAACGTGCCGAAGGAGCACAGCATTGTCCAGACCTACCCACCCAGTGCAGCACGGGGGATTTTTCTGTACATTTTTCTGTCTCCATCTGTACTCCCTATGTACCGAACAAGCTGCTTAATCTCAAACACAGGAGAACCTTCAGCTCCTAAGAAACTGTAACTTATCCTTGGGGGAAAAGCAAAAATATGGATCTTGTCTATTGAGCGGCTGGGTCTGCAAAACTGCATTGTCTCTGTTGTCACTTTATCCTTTGGGAGATTTTTTTCAACTGCCCAGGCTCGTTTCCATTCCACACTGGAGTTCTTTCCTGTTTAGCACATGGAATTTGTCGCCAAAATGGTACCAAGAACGTTGCTCACGAATCCTTTCTGATGTTTTGATACACACCTGAAATAACCTGATTTGTATGGTATTTCATGTGGACCCAGTCAGTACGAAAGAGTTAAACGCAGGATTTGACAGGAACGCTGTTGGAAATGCCTACTGGTTTATCATGGTGATAGGGAGAAACAGCGCATTGACAGAACTGCTGGATCCTGAGGCACTGGTTATAACGAAACTTCTGAGCAACGATGTGCAGACCTTGTCTTGCTTGTTAATACAAAACATGACGGAGACTGCATCCTATCAGCTGAAGTGATACTCGGGAGATGGAGCCAAAACATTGCACAAATTCTGCACAGTTCCAAGTCAAGCTAGAAGGTCAGGGATTAACCTCTGTCTGAAAATGAGAGCAATGTTTGGCAATCTTGTTCTGGGGATGATCTAAGTGAAAATTCAAGGTTGCTTAAAATGGAAAATATTATGCCGTGTCTAGAACACCCCAAGCTTTGAAGCCACACAGATTACAAAGAGAAGTTTGTCCTTCTGTGTCTCTCAAACACAGTATTAGCCACATCTGGTACCACTTACAGAAATGTGGGATTTAGCTGAGGTTCAGATAGCCTCTGTCTAATTCCAAGGAAGATTAAACTACAAAGGATCTTACAAAAAGCAATTAGCAAAAATGACTTAAGTTTCTCACTGTCGGTTTTAGTTTGTTGAAACCTTCCAAAATTACTCTTGCTGCTAACGCTGAAGTGGCTGAAAGAATGTCAGTTTAGACCCCTCATCTGAAACCTGACCACTTCTTATCCAGTCTTCAGCTACCAGGAAACAAGAGTTCGTGCTGAATCTACCATTTTTAAGAAGGAAAGCAGATGACACCCCTACAGAAAAATGATAACCCGTGAAAATTCAACAGCCTTTATCGCTCCTCTATTTTTCTGTACAGGTGGCACAGGAGGAATGCAATGATGTTGGCGGTCATCAGAGTCAATCCTCTCTTTTCCAGTAGGAACTCCCAGACTGGATGAGCAGTGGTATGGAAGAGGGTCAGGAATCTAACAACTGTTGATCGTATCAGTGACATCAGATTAATGGCATGAGCAAGATGGCAACACACCCAAACAGAAAAACACCGATACCCCTCCAAAACTCTCCACCCAGCACTAAGATCATGATGGCTTTCATGATTCAGAGGCACAAAGGGCACCTGCAATGATGCTGCAGGAACTGGGAAGAAACTCATGCTGCTCCAAAGGAGGGAAAGATTTTTGAAACATTGAGGGCTTACACCACCACCTTGAGCTCACTTATGGTGGAATGGCCTTAAAAACCCCCATGTACCTCTATACTGAAGAGAGCAGAAATTTTCAGCACAAAAAGCTCACGAGGGGATGGAAAGCAGGACCAATAGAGCTGTGTTAATGACATTTTGTGAAGATTGGTACTGGAGATCTAAACTAACGCTTCCGAGGATGGGAGCTCAGACAAATATCAGCTGTGACAGAGGTCTCACTGATGGGCTGGGGAGTTTTCTGACAGGAAATGTTTGGTATTTCTTAGGCTGCGGATCAGTAGATGAAGTGTGACTTAAGCAATTCATGCTCTGAATCTGCTTCGGGATTTGCAGGTGGAAAAAAGAATTCATGAAGAACCAGGAATGCTAGGAACAAGCTTGCTAGAAGCCTCTGACTCATCATGCAGTTGGCAGAAACTGAAAAATGGGAAGACCTACTTCCCTCTAACAGCACCATCGAGGGAGAAAGCAGGTTTTCCTTTCCAGTCAAAGTGTGGACATACACAAATGTGACGCCATACACAAGTGTGCTGGTTTCAGGCAGGAAGGATCTGCTCTCCCATAGAGAGCTGGCTGCCTGCAGCGGCCCTGGGGGTGGTGGGATTTGGTTTTAGGCTTTTGGAGCTAGCAGATAGCTTTGCTGATAGCTCCTTTTGTTACTTCTCCGGAGAAGCTGCTTCTTTTGTTAGGCTGGTTGGGGGGTTGGTTTTTTTCTCTCTCCCTGCTCTAGGGCTCTGGGTTGTGGTTTTTTTCCTTTCTGCTTGGATTTTCCTTGATGTTTTGGAATCTGGCTGTGTCAGTCCACGGGTGGTGAGATCCTGTAACATATATTCTATTTTCTGTTATTTGAATTACTTAGTAATAGTAGTATTGTTTGTATCAATCTAAGTTTCATTTATATAATTAAATAGTTCTTATCTCAACTTTTACAAGCTTTCCTTGGTTCTTTTCCTCTGACCCCTTGGTTGGGAGATGATAGAACAACTGAGTGGTACTTAATTGGAGGTAAGGCTAAACCACGACAACAAATTATTATCAAGACACAACTAAACCTGGAACAGGTTGCCCAGAGAAGCTGTGGATGCCCCATCCCTGGAAGTGTCCAAGGCCAGGCTGGATGAGGCTTTGAGCAACCTGGTCTAGTGGAAGGTGTCCCTGCCCATGGCAGGGGGGTTGGAACTGGATGGTCTTTAAGGTCCCTTCCAACCCAAACCATCCTGTGATTCTCTGAAACCCTCATCTGTGATAACTTGTACACACTCTCAGCTCTGTGAAAGAAGGTATCTCTAGTCAGGCATGTCTCCAGTGATTTTGAAGTCACTTTCTTCTCAGTGCTCAGACAAAAGGAAACGTGTATATACTTCTGCAGACTATGAAGGCATATGGAAAATGTCTCACTCAGGAACAGTGGACTCAATCAATGCACTTACATACTATCACCTGCTGGGGGAAGAGTAACAGTGAGAGATTCTCTGTAAAAAAGGAGAACGTAGGTTCTGAGGCTGCAGCTTCCTCATTATTTAATGAACCATTACAACACATCTATGTAAGCCAATGTGACAGCTAGGGAAAAAAACCCTCTTTCTGTGCTACTCTCAGCATTATCATCAGTATGCGTATTTCCAAACACAACCCAAGTTTGACGCCTTGCTGTAAATCAGAAAGGCACAGTCTGAACACAGTGGGAACTACCTGCATTTATTTGTATTATATTCAACGATGGCTTTAACTTTTAAACCCCAGAAGAGTCTTTACTAATCTGTCTTTACTGGTCAAACAGCCAGACCTTCCCAGCCCACTTCATGTTCTCCTGAAGCCATTTTAGGGCAGATGAAAACTCCAAGCTGTAAACTTCTTCCAAATTAACATTCATTGTAATATGCTTAAGGAAAAGCTTTGGATCAGATAAATGAGCAGCCACGATCAGTCTCTCCACTGCCACTTGGTAGTCACCATTACTGTCAACCGTCTGGTCTTCACACCTGTAAGCAGATTTTCACAAATACAGAGTTACATACCAGACAGGCCTTGTGTCACCTCCCTGATGCCTTATACGAACGACGAGATTACAGAAACATTAAAAAAATGCTTTGTGTTCCCTTCACTTACAACAGGTGATGTTAATTTCTAGGCAAATTTTAGCTGATGATTCTGAAGAGTTAAAAAGTTAGAAGTTAGCTTTTTTAACGTATTTTACACTGATTAAAAGTAATAGGATTTGATGCCTGTGCAAAGCAGGTCTGCAGTATCGACAGCATGTTTAATGAAGAAATGCTTGACTCTGGGCTGGGAAATTCAGTAATGTGACCCATTTTACAAACTGGATATAGCAAGAATTCATGTACATGCTTGAATCCAAAAGGATTACTCATTTTTGGCATGTAATCACTTTTGAATAAGGATGTGCCTAATGACAGGCTGCATTTTTGCAAGAGCAGAACCTGCTCTTTAGGCAAAGAAGCAGAGGTACAATAGCATGCACATGAAAACAGATAAAAAACCCTCATCATTTATTAAAAGAACAAAATCAAGAGATGTATTCCTTGGGGAAGGTACAGGGGAAGGAAGACAGGTTACTCAAGTTTCAGATGCCCTTGTTCATCCTTCTAGTGGAAGGTGTCCCTGTCCATGGCAGGAACTAGACTAGATGGAACTAGATGATCTTTAAGGTCCCTTCCAACCCAAACCATTCTATGATTCTATGATTCTTAGCAGATTTAGCTTTTCTATGCAGTTTCACATTTTGACGCTTAGTCAGTCAATCTCAAAGCAAATGGGGTCTTGAAAAATCAATTATAAGTATAATCTAGTGACAGTGGTTGATGTTTTATGGACAAGAGGAAAAAGCTACAAAACACATTTTTATCTGAAGTCTCACAGAAAGGGAAAAAAACCCTAACAATTTAATATTGGGATATCCTCTGTAAAGAGAATCAAGTAAAATGGCTTCATGCACTTCCCAAAAAAACAGCCAAGAAATGTTGGTGCTGTTTTTTGAAAGGAGTAAATTCTGACTGTGCCCTTCTACTCCACTGCTTAAGCACAACACAAGAATCTAGGTACCAAGGTATCAAGTTATCCTGTTTTTGAAAATACAGCACACTCTTCGTATGCTAGACATTTCAGTTAGGGAACACAGCCCAAAAATCACTCTGTAACAGTTATTTTTCTGCTACACACATGTAAAAATAATAATAATAAAAAAATCCCAAGCACTTACTTTCTGTAACCAGTTTAGAAACAAGGATTAAAAGTAAGTTTTAAACCAAGCAATCTCTTTCTCAGCCAATGGGAAATAAGCTCTCTCATTAATTACGGGATGACATGGATAAATGCAATCAAAATGGTACGTATCTGACAACAAACCTTTTCAGTATTATCTGAAGAGTCTGACTAGTCGCCACTGGACTCTGAATATCACTGGCATTTGAAACAAGAAATATTTCAATGACCAGCAGCATCTCCACCTCAGACAGGTAAGATGGAATTATCAAAAGTTTGTGATATAAACTTTCGTGCAGTGGTGGGTAGCAACCCAGTGATAGAGCACCTGAGAGGAAATACAGAAATGTAAGGAATTAGGATTACCACTGTTGAACCCAGATATGCTTTCTCTGCTATGTGGCTAAGGATGTGAAAATAAAACCCACAAAAACCCTTAATGGATTTTACTATTTCACCTGTGAAATGGCCTGATTTGAGAACACAGCAAGTAGTATTCATTCATGATATTCACTGTTGTAAAATGTTATTTTTACCAATGAGTATCATCAGTGATGATTAAAAAGCTCTGTCAGAAATCCAGTGCGTAATAACTCAAGTACAATTTGGGACAGGTCAGACAGCAGCTTTATTAACTGTGATCACAGCGAGAGGAGATTAGAACTGCGTCTTCCCCTTTGCTCCCCTGTCCTCTGCCAAGTGATCCCAGAGACCCAACCTACACAGCATTCCAGAACGAACAAAAGAGGGGAGGAAAACCAACCATTTCAGTGTTAACAAAGTCAGGTGGCCACGCGGGGAGGGACAGACTCCCCGTGAATAACGTGACAACATGGAGAGATGGCTGTTGGTGGACCCTATCAGAGTGGCACACCTAGCATCTTAGTGCAGAAGTGGTGAGTTGAAAACAGTCACAGACTGTTAGCTTTTTGTTGAAAGGGATTTCCTTTTAATTAGGATAAACTTCTTAGCCGGACCTCTCAAATCTTAAATATTAATAATTTTACCACCACAGCTCTGAACAGAAGTATAATCTAATAATTCTAGATGAAAAAGTGAGGATGATGCACTTTTTAACCGCTTCAGGGTTCATATTTTTTAAATCCAGAAACTGAAATAAATTTTATCCGAATTGCATTTATTTCATGCCAGGTAGTATGCACTGATTCATATTTTCAACTGCCACTATTTCCCAATAAACAGTTTGGTTACAAATAAATTCCTGATAGTGACACAGAAAAGTACTGTTTTTACAAAGTACACTCTTGCCCATTTCTCCTCAACATACTGAGCTGTTATGAGCATCTATTATTTAAAGAACATAAGGGAAGGACATTGTTTAAGAAGCAACTTACTTTTGTAATAGGTCCTAGCTTTAGACCACAAAGACCTTCTTCCCAAAGCTGTGATTAATCCTCTAAGTAAAGAAAATTCAATAGCTATGTTTTTTGAAAGCATGAAGTCTACTGCAGAAGATGAGACCCCAAGGTTCTTGCTCTCAAAACAGGCACGTATCAGCTTATTAAAAAGGCAGCTGTACTCAGAAACATTTACAGTATCTGAAATGAAATGAAGACTATTAACTACTGAATTAAGTCAAATGCAAATCTAACGGAAGAATTCTCAAACAGTACCTAAAATCAGGACTCTTCCCTCTATCAGCAGAATGGAACAAGGTTGGGATACCCTATGATAATGCTTTATTCATCAAAAGTATTCTCATACAGTTAGTTCACTCATGTTGCGAAAGAGAAGCATTAAGGTCCAAGTAGTAATTTGCTACTCAAAAGCAAGAGGATCAGATGAAAATATTTTCACTTGTCCAAGCCTAAAAATACAATCTTTGCCTGATCTCTCAGACTTAAAATTTGCACCAATAAAAATCACCTTGATGCTTCAAAGTTCTGCTTCTGTTCTTACTATGAACTGTCCACTTCCTCTCAACTGTCCCCTCCTTGGCAGGACTGAGCAGCCTCGTATCCACCTCATGCCTCAAAGGACTAGAACCTGTTAGGATTCTCCAAGTAGATGGCATTCCAAGGAAGCTCTCCTAACATACCTAAATGCACACAGTGGCAGTAGGACTGAGACATACACGCAGGAATCAGCTGAGGTTTCCTCAGTGGAGCCTAAGTAACAGCCTGAAGTACACACCCCAAATTTGTCTGATAAATTAGGCCCAAAAGAACGCTCAGTTCTTGTCACAGAAGCCTGGGGTGGCTAGCTCAGTTACGGAAAAAACCTCAATTCGTTCTCTACCAACTTCAGGGGAATGCACCACCCCAGTGATATCCCTGTTTTATCTTATTGTACAGACTATGTATGAGCCTTCAAAATTTAGTGGGTCTTTCCTATTGCCCTGTGTAACTGAGCCAATTAGAAAAAGAGGGCAGGTAGATAAACTCGGTGTGTGTGGCAAGAGCTGTAGAGTACATTACATATTTTAACTGACACTACTGTCTTTGGAAAAAAAAAATGGGCCTGTCTACAACCATCTTACTTCTTCAACAAACTTCAGCTGGAAAACAAATGAAATACAGAATCACTTGTTAAATTTTCAGCTCTTAACACAGCACTTTCTTTGCTTACCACAATAGTCCTGGAAACCCGGTAAGTTCTGCAGAACTTCATATGCCTGCCTGTGTAAACTCTTCCCCAAGTATTTGTGCACTAGCGAATACATCAGATGATGTCGATCAAGGATGTCCACATCACCACAGGGCCACGCTGGTACATTTGTGGTCCACTTTGATACTATGGCAAACAAGAAATGCAGTGTTATTTCTGTGAACTGAAACTGCTGGACACTAACACTCTAGGCCATTAAGAATATACTGTAAACCATAGCAGAACACAAATTTCAGAATTTCACAGAAAAGACAGTTCTAGTTATTAATAATCCGTTCCTTATCACCAATACTTTTCAGTTGGACTCTCTGAACCTTTATATTCTAAATAACCCCTTTTATTAAATATCAGAGTAGTAAAATGGACTGTCAGTGGCACTTATATACATGCATATATATATATATATATGTATATATTCATGTACATTTATGGAACCGAATAGCCAATTTTAGATCCTCAATACTACTTTATAGAACACCTATTCTTGTTTATACTTCTGAGCTTCTTTTCAGCAGATCAGAATTCCAAAAAGCCAGGAGCTAAGTGTTATTTAACTGAAGAACATGGTACTATTCTAAAGCTGTTTTACTAAATGTGGATATGGTGAGGAGTTAAAACCACATTGCATTGACCCAAGCCTGAAAATTTTTTGACACTGAATGTCACTTGGCTCAAAGGAAATCTACATGGGGAAGGGTCACTTTCCAAACTGCACCCCTCCCTTATTATCGCAGGATTTTGAGTAGGATGGTAGACTACTGTGAGAACTTTTCTGAAAAAAAATTGGTATGAGTCATAATATTTCTTATACATATTCAGAAGACTACTAACCAGTAAGATGGATCACATTTTTGTTGTCCCAGTATTACGAACTTTATTTAATAACACAGACCAGCTTGTAACTTTTATCTGAAATCTGGCATAGAAGGAAACTGTTACATTTTAAGTCAAAACTCAGTTTTTTATAAGACAAGCTTACCTCTCAATACCCATGTCGCTCCATCCAAACTTCCAGTTTTAATAAAAATTTCTGCAGCTTTATTAACAATCTGACATCTTGATGCTAACCTCTCTGCACCTAAAATTCCTTTCAAGACTGTAAAATGTATCTGTAACTCATATAATTTATCCAAAACCTTCCTTCCCTAGCATAAGAGGGAGAAGGGAAAGGAGGAAGGTCAAAGAAAGCACCGATACTGGCGAAGAGAAGAGTATATTTAAACAAAATACAGTAGATTCAATACGGTGATACAGATTTATAGGCATCAGTTCAGTTATCCACACTGAGGTGGGGTGGGGAAGGAGTATAGTAAAATTTCTAATGAATAAGGGTTTCTTTGACTCTGTAGACAAAAACCCTCCCACAAGCCCATTAATAATTCCCAGCACACTATTCCCCGTAACATTATTTGTACCATATAATGCTCCTACACAGAATTTTTAATATACTTTGCAATTAATCTGTATTTCCTTACTGTACTGTATTAGTATTTTTACTCTTTTGATTCCATTCTGCAATACACAACCTATAAAACTCTAAAAAGATCATGCAGAGACTTTTCAAACCAAAATAATTACTCCAGCGTAAGCCAAACAAACCACCGATATTTGTACCCAGCAGGACAGTAAGCTGGAAAAAGTTGGGCCTATCTAGCCCACAGTGTAACAACCAACAACTTTATCTTCATATTCCAGGTTAATATTTAGACTGGTTTCCTACAGAAATTTCCTCTTAACAACTTTTTTGTTGGCCTTTTCAGTCAAAGATGGAAGAAAGGTAGCAGTCTCAAAGATAATTAAGATCTGACCAATCTCAAAAAGATGATGATCGAGTCAAGGTGGGATATCAAATAATGTCCCCAGTAAGGCAAGGACTGGCAGGATTCAGCACCTGTCCTGTCTGGCTGCACCTTGTTGGTCAAGAACATGAACAACACTCCAAACTAGACATGCTCCACCTCGTTTAGTGGGTGCACTGAAGAGGAGGTAGTATACTAACAATTGTAGGCATGCGTGTGCATGTATGCACTGTGGTGGGGGAACAAGGGTCATGGAGGTACAGGGAGAGGGAGGTTTAAGAGAAAGAGAAGTTGACAGAAAATGAAACATCGATTAAGGAGCTCATTTTTTAAAAATGTTTTACCCATAAGCACGTACATACAGTGCACTGACATAGGCTCAAAATCAAAGACTTTCAAAGGCCTGCAGGTATCTGCAGTGGTTTATCTCAGCATGACCCATAAAAGGATACTAACTACATCACTGCAGTTAACATTTAAGGTGTAAAGAACCCATTCAGCTGTAGATGTATGTGGCTGAGGGAAAAAATACCTACCAGACTCAGGTGGAACTTTGCCAGCAAAATAGAAACTTGAGATCTAAGTGCAACCCGAGGCAAAAATACAAAATTAAGGAGCATCTGCATCTATTCTAGCAAAAGGAAGGGCCACGACAAAGTGGGTCTTTATAAAGATGGAAAGAATGCAGCTGTAAGCACAAATGATCTAGAAGGGAAGAGCACCCAATTAAAAGGCAGCTGTGGAATGAGATCCTTAATTCCACAAGAACCTCTGACCAATCCTCTGAAGTAAGAAAACGTTGGGTAAAATAAATCATAGCAAAGTTCTTCAAGATAGGAAATAGATGAAATAGGAAGTGGATGAAAGAGTTGCCAAAGGAGCATTAATGCTGCAGCATTCGCTAGAGGTAAAATATCCAGAAGGTTGTCAAGCACTGCTTGAAGAGCTGTCTCCGTGGAAGACCTGTTTCAAATCTGGACGTTTTTTCAAAGCACATCTGTTTTATGAACTTTCCTTAGCTCTTGCAAAGAATATTCTCTTCAGGATTAGGAAGCATTCATATATTTTACCCCTGAGAGCCAACAAGCTTCAAAGCTGTGTGATTAAGAGGTTTGATGTTCATGAAGGGAAAGTGATCTGATAAGCACATCTAGGGCTTTAGGCAGTCCAACATGTTCATAAAATGGCACAGGGCATGTCCTAAATCCAAATTACTTTTGGGCACAGCAGGAAGAACAAATCCATCACTGTCTTATTTTCTGGACCACTTACTGGAAGAAACAAGAGACGGGATCAAGCAGACACTAGCCCATAACCACCGGATTAGGGACTTAACTGATACATGCAATGGAGTGAGGAGTGACAGTTCTAGTTCATCCCTGAAGCAGAGATCAATTTGGGATCTGCCAGTTCTGATAAAAATCAGAGCACAGCCTCCTTCACACTCCAACACAGTCAATGCAGACTGTCTACAAGGTTCTTTGAGAATCTTGGTGAGCAGCCTGTGGAGCGGTGGGTTTGATACCTAACAGAACATTCTCAAACAAGCAATGATGATCTGCTCCAGACATGGAAAAAAACCTCATAGTATCATGAGAACTGTCTACTGTTAGTAACTCCTGTTATGTAAGAGAAACACTACACACGCTTGACACCTTGCACCTCTGAAATTAGGATGTGAAGATGAACCTCCTTGCAATATCAGAGGTCCTACAACCCAAATATCAGGATTTCCCTTAAAATGGATCTGGAAAACAGCTAAAAATGCATGAAGACATTTCCCCAGAAACACAGAACGTATGCTGTCTTTCAAAGACGACAGCCCAAACTCAAGCTAAACTACACTCCCTGCTGAGCATGTAAGCACTGACCACTCCTCGACACCAAGAATTTGGACTACCTCTTCTATGGCCAGGACTATCTGAACTGCCGAGTTTTGCGGAACAGAAATGCTTTAGAAAGTTCTAATGCAGTACTGCAAAAATGCTAATGCTAAGACGTGCTCTCCTTCCCTTTACTCCTAAACAGTACAAGACTGTGCTGCAGCTTGATAAGGACCTGCTAAAGACCATTCAACTGAACAAGCTGATGCTGCAAAATTAATGATTCATCTAAACATGTATTGCCTCTAGATTAAGCACTTCTGTCAAGTTATCTCCTGGGACTTGGGCTGACCCTGGAAACAGCCTGAGCAGTGCCCAGGTTTTACATAACAGAATTGCTGAAGGTCATCCCTTAGAGAGAATAGTGAAAAAGACATTTGAATACTTTCATGCAGACTAAAAGGGTTCCCCACTGATGATTCACAAAAACACCCCAAGAGATAAGAGGGGACAAGGACAGTGTTTGCTTTTGTTCATAAAAATACATGCTGGAAATCATCTTGTATGGGATGAGGAACATCCTAGTACGGCACCATTATGAGTTGTAAGGATCAGGCCCATTAACACAGTTGCTGACCAAAATACACTCCAGAATCACTGGTGGTTTATATCAATTCTTATCTTGTCACCAGCCATCTTGCATTGTATAGAAGATCCAGGTTGGTATACACTGCTTCCTTCCAGAAAAGACAAATTTAACACTGAAATGGATCTTGCTGCAGTGAACTTAGGACCAACACTGCATGAGGCTCAAAGAGCATGAAACATCTAGTGAAAGGTCTAGTCTCTTAACCCTGGTCCAACAGAATATTTGATGGCAAAGAAAAGATGGTAAAGGGTATTTCTTTGTGAGGGCTGAGTCTTTGCCAGGTTCAGTGAACTCAGAACCCCAGACTCAATGGAAGAAAGGCACTCATCAACATTCTGAGGAATGCGCGGTTCACCAAGTGCAGTAGCAGCTTTGCTGTGCTTCTGTCTTCCTGGCTCTACCCATTCCATTTGAGGTCAGATTCGGAAACATCAGTGCAGGGAAAGGCCCACTCAAACTTCTGTAAATATTTCTTGAGTTGGGAGGTCTCAGAAAACAGCCGTATTGCCAGACAGAAGAAAGTGACGTTTCTGAGAAACAATCCCATCAGCACCTTGCCCCAGAACCTCACGAAGAGTTGCTTCCTCATCCAGATTCATCCTCAACTCAGGAAAGTCAAAAGCTGAACCTGAACAACCACGTTACTAGGTTGCAAGACAAAGTTACAACAGGCTCCACAAAAAGACTCCTGCTCAGGAGGAGCACAAAAGACTCCTGCACAATAAACTGCTTTGCTCCAGCTGGACAATGAAGATGGAGCAGGATGGCGGCAGGTGGCACATCCAGCCATTCAACTAGAGAAATGCAGTGTAACAACTAGAAAATAAACTAATCATTCTTTTTCTGCCAGTCAGGTTCCTACAGCCCAGTATACCTTTATCCACTGCTGTACTTTGTGATAAGAATACATTACACTTATCCCAGTCCTTCCAATGAAAGTTCTGTCTCCTTCCTTACACTGTATCTTTTTTAAGACTGGGGGGGGGGGAAAAAAAAAAAAAAAAAAAAAGAAAAAGTCACATGTAAAGGAAGTTTTAAAGAAGTAACAAACTTGTAAAACATGTTCATTGTGAAAATATTAAACATACTTTCTGAAATATTTGGCATTAAAAGTAGTAACTTCCTAATTCTTAACATCAGGAACAGGGTAAATAAGTATAGTTTTTACAGACACTGTATCACAGTAGTCGAATCCATCTGTAAGATCCCTGGACATGTAATGGCATAATTCAGCAACATCATTATTTGTAAAATAAGTTGTGCATTTTCTGGCACCATGAAGAAGTGTTGGCAATTACAGAACTGAGCAATCAGAAGTTTTTCCAACCATTTATACAACCACTTCGGAAGCACCGTTTATATGCCAGAGCACTGGTCTCCAAAGTGGGGTGTGAGCACAACAATCCACTTGGGTGTGGGAAGAAAGCATTCTTTGTACCATCTGTTTTATGTATGTTTTATAAAGTCCATAATATAGTAGTGCAGCACTACACGTGTATAATTTATAGCTAACGAAACAAACAAATCAAAACATTTTACTGATCGAGGTGCCTGTCAGTTTGGAGACCAACGCTCTAGGGAAGACAGACCAAGTCCCCAGCCCCACTAACACCTTCTGTGTCACCACTGGAAGCTGTCACAGCTGCTTTATAATATGAAATTCTGTGCTCAGTAAGGTCACATCACATCCCTGGAATAAATACTCATCATGTTTTAGTGTTAATACAGGTTGAAAAAGATCCGAGTCATCCATTATAAAACACGTTAACATCCCACCAACACTTCACTAAGCCTGAGTTTCCTGCAAACTTATTAAGAATGATACAGACACGTAAATAAAGGAGCATAGGCAGGAAAGGGGTAAGAAAGCCTGCCAGAACTATTAAAAAAACCCCTAGAAGGTGTTTTGTGGACCCAGCCCTTGCAGAAATTCTAGGTTCTTTAGAACCTGAAATAATTCTGAAAATCCAAATTAGTAAAAAAAGAGAGTACAAATGATATACGTAATGTAACCCTGTTCAATGTCCTTTGAAATATACAAATATATATCTAGCTGTTTTTACAGCTCTAAAGTTTATTTATGCTGATAAGAGCGTGACACTTCTCAGGACAAAGGCAAACGTATTTAAGTATTGTCATGTGAAGAGGACATTCTTATTAAAAGACCACCAACTTTGGTTTCTGCTCTTGATTTCACAAAGCTCAAATGTTCTTCTCTCAGAACATGTAGTTTGACTTTTAAGTGTAAGCACTGTGGCTTCTATTGAGCATTTCACCTCAAGAAATTCTGAATATTGTAAAATGTAAAATTAACTAATGTTCAGAAAACAGTATATGATTTTAGTTTTTTACCTCTTTTAAAAATTCTACAAACAGTAGGGAGTAATAGAAAGCATTTATTGCATCTTAATTTTACCTGCATCAGCAAAAGTACAAAAAGGAACTCCTGGCATGTGTGTCTCAGAATCTCTGGTTAGTATTTCAGCGATATATAAAGACAACTTCTGAAGATCACAAAAATTCTCACATCCAGCTCTTGCATTAATATACAAAGCTGCCAGCTTGGTCCAATCACGTTTTACCTTGCAATACTGCAAAGGTGGCAAAGGATAAACATAAGCAAACGTGCTTCCAGAACATATATTAAAATTCAAGAGATATACCTGGGGTAGACTTAAAGCGGGAAAAAAGATGTAGATGAAATGCTACTGCCAAGAGCTTCCACGCTCAATATGGCGCAGTTACACGCTGCCTAGCTTGCGTGGACTGTTAATCACTTTTGTCCCTCAAGAAATCAAAAATCTTTTCTCCATTTGTCATGACTCTAACTGGGGAAGCTCATAACTTTTACTCCTATTGAAGAACTGGCATTCATCCAGTATTTTACAAACTTTTTTTCCCCCCCCCCATGGTGCATGCCAAATTGCTGGTTATTTTCTAGACAAATTAGTCTTGCTTGCCAGATCACTTGATGACTTTGGTGTTAAAGGAGTAAAAACAATCAGTCCCGGTTCCTTCCTTCTTAAATTTTGGTCTCAGGATCTGTGCAGTAAGTGTGATAATACAGAAACTGTATTATAATTGTGCATAACAAGTGATCTGCCTTGAATATGAGAGGTGCAAGTGTCCAATTAAAGAAGTTTTAGTAATATTTTCTTATTCTTTAAAATACGTGCTTAGTGTTGCCAACTACAGCCTTTTACAATTGTGCCTTTTTATCCTAGATATGAATTCTATCTGCTAAATAATGTACTAAATATTATGTTGGTGAGGAATGATGCACCACTACCAGTAACAAGCAGAAAATATGTAAGGCATAGGAAATAATTGCTTAAAATTTTAAAATCCTTGAATTAGATGCAAAACCAAGATAAAGCTACAAGTATGTAAATTAAATTACTGATATCACAGGAAAACCAAGCACGTTTATCTTTCTCAAACATGGCTTTGCATAAAAATATTTTATCATAATTTCAATATACTTATTAATAAAGCCCACTCGTTTTAAATTATGTAGAAACTGCTATTTCTTGTAGGTTTAGAAGTCATGGTTTAAGCATTTGAAAAGGCTTCGAGAACGCACATACTGTACCTGAATTTCATCCACTACCAAGTTGAAGTAAAAAAGGCAGTTCTTTTCAAAATGTCTTCCCTGTACTCTTCCATATGAAAAAAAAATTAATACTTGATTTTAACAAATCCTGTTGAACTAAACTATGCATAAGCAGAAGGTGATTAACAAATTATCACATATGAACTAGAAACTGATCTTTCATCCTATTTACAACACACACTGCAATCTGGACACTGAAAACAGACACGAACAGTTCTGCTAAGGGAAGTCAGTATATGTATCATACAAATAATTGAACAGAGTTATTTTCACTGAAAATATTCCCTTGTCTCAGTCTCAGTATAAATGTAACTGAAAAGGTATGGGTAAGACTTGCAATCCATTAAGTAAATGCAGAGCTGTATTGTCTGACCTAAAGGGGAAACAAAAAAAAGTTAATTACATGAAAGACAGCACTATCCAGCCTCAAATACCCAGGAGCATAATGCTTTATTCTGATGCAGCCACTGAAACAATGGATACATCTACGCAGTGTGATGAAGTAGCACAGCTGCTCAGCCTTCATAGATACAGACTGATTCTCAGTTTGTGCTGAAAACACACACGTACTGAAGCAACTTGGAAGGGCCATTCCTTTGTGAATGAGATTCCCGATCTGAAAAACTATAAGAATTACCTCCAACGTGTGGTTAAGTTGTACTGGTAAAAAACTGAGATCCGTGGCTGGAAGGTACTCTATGTGAAAAGTATGAAAGGCAGCAAACAACTTCTACAGTGCTTTCACATGAAACCGTGACGGCTTGTTTACACCCAGGAGCTGCTGCATATTTGGTCTCCTCCGAGAATCAAAGTTGCCTTATGAATCGTAAGTTTAGTTTCTGAGCTTGTGTGTCCACATATGATGCAGATGATACAAAAACCCAAAGGACTGCAATCTTGTGCGAGCGATAGGAAGACATTAGCAGCTTTGGAACAGATTTGGGCTGTGATCGCACGTTTTGATCAGCATAATCCAGAAGTACTTAAAAATGACCCTTCTCCTTAGTTGTGTTGGCGCAAGTGTTCACGCAGTCGCACAGTAAATGAAACTAGAAAATACCTCAGATCATAACTTATCATATTATTGGCTAGAAGGGTTGTTTATTGCAGAAGTACTGTTTGTTTACACAGGCCTAACCCATACACTAAACCATGATGTTTCTAATTTGATTACAAGTTATATAAACTTGTAGCACAGCTGGGAAGAGATTGTACAACAGTGATCAATGTGGGAAAAAACCTAATCATAACTGTGGTCAGAATCTACGTTTTGACTTCACAATCCTTGACCTTTGAAGCATAGTAGATTGACAGCCCGTTGAAATACAACTAGTCATGATATGACAGTATTTTCATCCAACACACGACATTTGCATTTTCTCATTGTCTTTTAAAGTTTTTACCTAAATTTTTAAAAACAGAACCTGAAGAAGGAACTAGACAGATATAATTATAAACTAGCTCTTTAAAGACATACCTGGATTTTATGTTCAAAACAGTATTTATATCCTGACTGGAAGCTTGCAATTGGTGAAGGAACTTAATAATATAGTGAAAGTGTTCAAACTCAAGGCACATACCAGCATCAACGAGCTGTAATATCAAACAGGGGGAAGGAAAGTAAGCATACAAAAACTTGGGATCACATACGTATTTCCAGAGTTAAGTGGCAAACAACAGTGGGGAAAAACATGTCACAGTGAATCTTGGTCAAAAAAATAAGTGATAAATGGAAAGCCTTAGCGCAAATTCATCTAGTCACAATATAACTTAGAAAAATAGTACTGAAATAACACTGATGTGTTTGAGTTTTAAAACAGCAAAGGTATTTCAGAAATTCCAACAAGTAGCAGTAGTACAATTAAACTCATACCTTACAAAGGGTACTGATTAATGTAGGCACAGCGCCTCTTAAATTCAGAGAAGCCACATGCTGAAAAACTTTCAGAAGAACATCTACAGCTGGCTAATTCAGACAAAAAAAAAGCACAATCAGTTTTGCAACTCTGTTCAATTAAAAAGCTTCGATTTTTTGTAATAGGAACTTTTTGAATAGCTTTTTCCTCCCCTCCCCAAGATTTGAGTTTATTTTTACCCTGGAATTTATTACTACAAATTGCATAATACTCAGAAGAAAAAAAAAAAAAGAAGAAACTATGGATCAAAGATTTAAAAAATATTACCAGGTCACCTACCAGTGTATGGATTTGTACTGTTACATTCAATATCTGAAATACTTCCTGCAACAAACTGCTCTTGAGCAAAGAAATGAGAAGATCATTCAGCACTGGAGAAGAAAAATCCACACCAGGAGTAACTTCTGTGTAATATTTCACAAATATTTGGGCTGAAAAAAGCAATTAAATTGATTTCACTTCGGGGTAAGTGATGCTAACTCTTTAAACAAGTTATTTCCTTAAATTTTAAAATGCAGCATTACAACTATGCACAGTATTATGGGATAGGGATAAGGAGACAAATGGGTGAAAGAATACAGCTTGAATCTAGTGTTAACCTTACCAGACCCAGACTGACTAGTCTGAAATATCTCATGTCACTGAGCTGAACACCGTAAACCCTGTAGGTTTCACGAAAGCTTAGCTGATTTGGTGCAGCACAAGAAAAAAAAAGCACAAAACCAGGTTAGATTTGGTAAGTGCATCAAGCTAGTAAGGCGTTTCCAGGCATGAAGCTCTAGGAAGTGAAGGGCAGTGTTATCGTGGTGGATGTTCTTACAATGTGTTCCAGTTCTAGCCTTCATAATAGATACATCCTGTTGCCCGCTGGTACCCCACATTACCTGCATTACAGCGCTCAGAATTTCAGCATGGGAACATTACTACACAGCGTGCAACTGAATCCCACATTCACACTGTAATACACGCTAATAAGCTTTCAAAAACTTTTAGACTGCTCAGGACAGGTACAAAAGGAAAGACAGTCCAGAGTAAAATTTAGCCCTTTCTGACTAAACCCAAAATCTCAGATGGATCCGAGTCATCTAGAGTCGCTAAAATGTGTTAATCGTAATTGTCTGCATGTTTGATAACGTGAAAGGACTAAACTAAAGCTGTTTGGGTGCTGTAACAGCACTCCAAGAGGTAAGTCTGAAGTTTCTGTACTTGTGATGGCTGGCCAGGCTGTTCAAAAGTGCCTTAACAAAATTTTGGTTCTGTTAAACCTCCCCTCCCCTAGTTACTCATTTCTATTCTGAAGACTAGTTCCATTCAGGTTCATTTTCTGTGGAAGTAAGATCTGTAACAACCTCCTGAGATAACTGTGTATCTGAATACCTAGTCTCAATGGGAAACTGGAACATGAAGACACATGGATTGGATGTATTCCTTTGAAATCACAACTTCTTATTCACTGTTGAATTGGCACCCATTTCTTTCCTGACAGCCTATTTAATTTCCTTTAAATAAACACAGGTACACCAAAAGCTACTGCTATCTCATACCTGCACGTTTTAGAAGGCCTGATCCTTTGACATTAATGTATGTCCTAAGTACTGACATGCAAATCTAGAAAAAGAGGGAAAAAAAAAAATCCATAGTAAAATGTTACCTCAGTTTATGACAAACAAAAGAACTCCTGCAAACGCGAGTTCTGCAAGGAAACAAGCTTTACGTTGCTTCTGTTTAACTCATACATACTGACAAATGGTGTAAGAAGGTAATTGAGTCTGTAGGCAAAGGCACTATCAAAAGAACAGCAAAACAAATAGAAAAATAATGTAGATGGAATGTTTGGGAAAGGAGCTACGGGGACCACAACTGCGCACGTGTGCATATATACTCACAGCAAACAATAACAAGAATTTGAATATATGTTACTTTGGAATTAGTACAAATGTGGCAGACTGTAAATGGCGAAAGGGAAGCAAAAAGCTAAAAGTGAAAACATGATAAACAAAAATTACATAGACGTACCAACCAAGAAGCCAAAAAATCACCTAGAAATGAAGTTGGTAACACCGACTGTCACCAAAAGTCACTCATAAGGACACGAAAAAAAAATCAGAACGTCAATTTAACAAACCATTTCACGCCAGACCCGCTTGATTAAAATGAAATTCCACAGCTACGTTATTTTAGTGTGTTATTTGGTATTGGAACATTCTTGCCTTAAGATCTTAAACTGTCATCTTTCTGATACTTACACATCTTTTTTCATCTCTGCAGATAAAGAAATAAAGTGTACTAAGATTAAATCTTAGAATTCCAGGAAAAAACCCACCCACCCTTTCAGATACCCTTTGTTACTTCTAGCACATTTACAGTCTTTCTGCACAACAATGTAAATGGGTCGTATTTAATACTGTTTTGTGAAATAACTAAAAATCAAGAGATACACACCCCCCCACCGCCCCCGTATTAGTAGTCAGGTTATTACAGAATTGAATCGGGTCTGGTTTTACATGCAACTTCAAAATTAGGCAGGACCCACTCACGGAGTTTGTTACACACCAAATGAATTCTCATCAAAGCAGAAAATACTGACTTGTGGCCAAGACGTATTTCTTGTCTTAAATTCCGATCATCAAGTCAAACAACACAAAAATTGCATGCTTAAGTGTACTGAATATAAATAAAGCTTATTGTTCTTATTTTGACACCGTGAACAATGTCATAATGTTGTTGAACTATAGTCTAAGATACACCTTTCGGAAAATCATGTGGAACCTTTGATCATTAATATACATGCAGTGTCACCTGGCAATGGGTTAACTCATTTAATCCAAATCTACAATCCCAGGTGGCACGAGGGCATTTCCAAAACAAACTTGAGCACATGCTTACAGTATGTAAATTAGTTTGCTTTCTTTTGGAAACTGTTTCCTCCTTCTTTGGACTGACTCCAGAAAATAAAAGCCAAGACTGCATCTGGAGCTCTAACTCTTCCAAGTATTAGTGAAATTGCTTGGAAAATCCAGTTGTAGTAGTATTTAATCATGGGACATGTTACACTACATTCGTAAAAGAAACTGTGTTCTTCATTTACAGCTTCTAGGAGGCTGCAGTTAATTCAACTGTTTCAGTTTTTAGTCTGTACCTACAGACTGTGTGAAAACGTGAGAATCTCTAAATTTTTAGTTAATCATAGCAGATTTAGAATGAAGGTACATGAAAGAGACAATTCCCAGTTTCAAAAGGTAGCATAGACCACACTATTCTGTCACCTATCAGGTGATTCCACAACCCATTTAACATGACCATTTAACAAAAAACAGAACAAAAGGGCTGTGTTTTTTATACAAGCAACCGACTGCCCAGTAAAACACAGTTCCACTACAGTAACACAGAGGTACTTGAATCAGAAGAACAAACACCGGAATTTATTACATCCTTCTGCACCTCTCAGGCAGTGTGCACTCTTAAGCGGAAAAACCCCAAGCTGCAGCCCTTCGGTCAGAGGATCAAAACCAGGATCCTTTTTTACAAGAGATTCTGCTTATGAACCCTCTGGTATCTTTTGAGACACACTCTCCTCACTAAATCTGGCTGAAACTGACCAACAAGTTAAATTATTTCAAGGCTGTTACAGACAGTAAGAAAAGGACAGTACAACTTTTAAGCCTCATTTCTGTAGGAAGTCAGATTAAACCCAATCCCAAAAATCCAACACAACAGAAGTATACATCCAAGGCCTTGAAGCTGCAAGATGACATTAATGGGGAAAAAAAAAAATCTCCCTATTTTATATCCTGTTTGTTTCCAGTTAGTAGTTCACAGGATCACGGTAAAAGAGAGTAAGAAGTCACAAAAAGTAAAAATTTCTTTAGTGGATACAGCATGAGTCCAAAAAAAAAAAAAAATCTAATAAGGTGCACAAAACTAAGATAAGAGCAGACAAAGAAATACAGTTTGCATAAAGACATGTTTTCACACCAATTATTTGTTATAACTGTGCAATTATCATCTATCCTACAGTCTGAAGTATCATTCAGTCCAGTACTACCTATTGTTAAGTATTTTGGTAAAAGCCATAAGCAGATCACAGACTAGCTGAGGTTGGAAGGCATCTCTGTAAATCACCTAGTCCAACCCTTCTGCTAAAAGAAGGGTCAAGTAACCCAGGTTGCACAGGACTGCGCCCAGTCAGGTTCTGAGTATCTTCCAAGGATGGAAGTTCCACCACCTCTCTGGCCAACCTGCTGTAGTGTTTGACCACCCTCACAGTAAAAAAAGTTTCTTCTTACAGATAAATTACACTTAAGTGTAATTTCAATTTATGCCTACTGTCTCTTGTCCTTTCACTAGGCAACACTGAGAAGATCCATCTTCTTTAACCCCTCATCAAATGCTTATACACGTTAAGACACGACCTTGAACTACTTTGAGGAGTATTTAAAACAGTCTTAGTAGTTTTGTTCACTTGGCCTAATACAAAAGAAATTCCACTGTGTAAAATTAAAGGCAGCTTTTATTTAAGAATAAACCAACCCGATAATTTGTAGAACTTGGTGAGGTCAAGAGTATGCTGACTTTCAGAACATATGATGTCTTCATGAATTAAATCGCTGCTGTGTTGTGTGACTAACCACACCTGTGAAGAGTCCTAAATCTAGTGGGTTAAGCCATAATGCCTCCAACAGCCTCTTAATACAAAGGATGGAATTTCCATCGTGGGGAAAGGTACTTCCCTTACAAAATTCTCCTAGCAATCATCCCTGCAAACATAATACTAAGCCAATGGACTATCAGTCTGCATAAGGGCTCCTAAAGATGTTTATTTCCCCTGTATTTGTCCAGATGACTTTGTTAATGATTTACCTGTCTTCCATTTATGTACTTTGGTGCCACCATGAGGTCCTTGGCCTATTATCATTTCTAAATGGACAGTTCTTTTTAAGAAATTAAATACACAAACAAAACCCAAAGTATATTTCCAGACTACCAAGAAAGTTAGGCTGGGTTTAGTGGGCCAAACAGTAAGTATGCTGGAGGGCTGCGCCGCAAGGAAATCAAATGGAATGCATTTTTAGTAGCTTTAGGCAAATAATTTAACTCTTTATCGTGTCTGTATATAATAAAGTGCTGCAAACCATTCATCCTAATAATTCAAACTAGCTGAAAATTATTGATATTCATACAGCCTGCCAAAAGTTATTTCACAATTGAGTAAAAAGGAAAACGTCCCATACAAAGTTACTCTCAAATGATCTTTGTATTTTTTAGACGTCATATACGTTTTCAAAGGAGATACAAAGCATTAGTAAAAAAACCCACCAGGTCTTTTTTGAAACATAAAAAGGAAAAGAGAAAATATTGAGAAAAATAAAACCAAATTACACTGATGTATTTTAAAAAGTGACACAGTATGCTTAAGATATCAAGGAGATGGATAAGCTCCTTTAGATCCTACTTCTTTTTTAGTATTTATGTCTAACAGGGTCACCACAAGTGATTTACATTTTGATTCCCTAATTTATTTCTCACCAACACCAATGATAAAAATCTTGGCATCTAGGCATTTGTCTTTGTTCAGTTGCTGTAATGTTTTTGTTCGCTTCACAGTGACTTACAGAACCACCTAAGTCTCAGTTTCATACAGCCGACTCCAAAATCTTTATGACATGACAGCACAATTAGCTTGCCTTGCACAGTTCTTGGAAGTATCACAGACACATAATTTCTTTGTTAAATGGTTTGAAAACACATCTACTTTGCCCACCAAAGTATTTTGCTTACAAGTATTACAGGAATTGTTGCTCCATTTAAGGAGACTACAGCATCTTTAAACAGACATGCCCCTGTTGCATACAACTTGCAGAAAGTGATACCTGAGAGATGGCTTTTGACTTGGGAATACATACAAAGTCTGGGTTTGCTTACAGGTGTCCAATGCTTCGGACAGAAATGGCTCAGAATCTCCCCATTCTACTACTCTGCACTCATACAGCCTAATTCTCGCTCTTTTGCTGATGTCTGTTTTCTTAAGAAGTCTACTAGTTAAAAATTCCACCATTATTTTTTAAAAAGAACTTTAAAAAACCTTGTTCAGAAATTCTTCCTCACATTTTTTTGATCCATCAATCTCAGAAACTTACTCCCTTTCCACATATAAATGAACACAGAAGATGTGAATGCTTTTTAAATGCGAAACGACACTCAGAGTACATTCCTCTCTTCAATAAATCTCTTTACCTTTTCATCCCCTTGTTCAGGAACATGCGCAAACCAGCACTTTGCTCTTTCACACCCGCGCAGAGTCAGGAAATAAAATCTGCAGTATTTACGGGGCAATTCAATCATCTCAAGCATCAGCTCGACTGAATAAGGAGCCTAAAATGAAATAAAATTAAAACAAGCAGAAAAAAACCCCACAGATAATATTTTTTGAAAGCAAACATGCTCATTTTTGGGGAGAATTTCAACATACCTATGAATTCTAAACAAAAGTAAAAAACATGCGACCTACAATGAAACCTCTGAAACAACCCTCATCTCCCTACCGTATCTGCAGCATTTCAACGCAGACCGAAATCAATCCCTTGTCACGTGCCTAGTTAGTGTCTGACATAACAAAAATCTGTTGTGAAGACCACAAACGGACAGAACAACACCAGAACTGCTAAATGAGATGGACAAATAATAGAGAGGAGGCAGAAAGGTGCCAAACTCCTGCAGTGGCTCTGAGCAACAGTCTGAGAATTCTGTGGCATTGATTTCCTTTACCCTTTTTCAGTGCCCAGCAGAGTGGATAATGCAGACTGTCTTAAACATGTGAAACCTTGTCTGCTCTTCACTTCTATGAAAACAATAAACCAAACAGCATTATTTGATTTTGCTTACGCTGGAAACAGAAATCAACCAAGCTAGACTGTGAATAGCTGTCCCCTCATAACTCATTTTGTTCTCAGAAATTGTATTTACTCAGCAATAACATCTTTAAAGGAGCAGAAACATAAACATACATAGATTCATATTTTCTGACTAGATACACAGAGAATTGTCAGAATATCCATAACAAAATTAGTGCCAAAGGATCAGAAATCATTCAGGATTTGACAACTCACAATTGCGTTTTTTTCTATCTTCCATGGCTTGGGATCTCCGTAATTTTGCAATGGCAGCAAAGGATTTTTTCTTGAAAATCTGTAGTCTAAAAATCAGGATGAGGGCAATAAATGCATCACGTAATAAAACAAGTCATATTGAAACTGCTCTCATTTATCTTATTTTCCTTTGTATTTATAGTTCCTTCAATTCACAGCAATGATTAATGAAAAATTGATTAACACAATCTAAAGCCAGTAATTTTATTTTCTTAATGATCCTGAAACTGAGACTTTATGCAAACTTCACGAGTAAGCACATTTAAATTAAAAACTTCATTACTTTATTCAAGGTTTCTAATATAACTTACAGAGACAAGAAAAGAAATGGATCAAAAATATCCCGAAGTTTTAATTTCAAAAGGAGAAAAACACCCCACTTTATCAGTAATTTTGCGTTCCAACATCACTAGTCATAAATTTAAACTGTTTTTCCAGAACTGAAATAAAACCTTTCATACCCTCTATTTTAAGCAGTGCAGTATCAAGCTTAAGGCCAATGTTAGCTACTGGCTTCTTAACCATAAAACTTGGGTTTAGGACTTTAATTATTATTGGTAACAGATTTACTTCTCTGAAAAAATGAATAATGTTAACGAAAGATAGAAGTTCAACTCCATATCTAAAGAGAAATAAGAGTTTTTGAATGCTTTGTTTTCCAAGGCTCCCATCTGGCCCGTTAAAGGAACTGGGTATTCAAAAGGCAGGGTGCTTAGCCCTTTCTGACAAACTACAGCTACTAAGGAGCATCCAGTAATGCTGCACGTTCTGCTTCAGTCTTGCACCAGGGATATGGTCCTTAATCTGCATGTCTGTCTAAAGTGACAGGACTATCACAGGATGGGAATGAGAAATAGAATGTAGAACAGTTAAATACCTAACTGTTACATACTGTCACAGCTGCGTAGTTTTGCGCAGCGATGGTTTGCAGTTTGGTAAATTCAGGACTGATAATCTTAGTGACAGAAAAAAAACCCAACCCACCCCCGAGAAAACTGCCAACCACTAGCTGCAGAAAAATGCCACTGGGAACTTGAGTTCTTTCCTCCAGATTCTTGCCATGCCCACAGCGTAGTTTCTGACCAGGTCCTTTCAACAGTTTCTACTCTCCCTGCTGACTGTATATTGTATAGGGGAGCAAGCACTACAGTGAAATAGACAGTCCTGCCTGCACAGTCCCGGGGAAAAAAAGGCTGGTTTGCCCTCTCCCAGCATGGAAACTCTTACTTTGGCAACCGTTTCAAATGATTTTAAGTATGAAGATTCAGAAGAACTCTTCAGAAGATATATACACTTTTGAGGCAGAAGACATGAGCAGTTTCAAACTACTGTAGTCTGGAGACACACTTCACAGTTGCTTTTTACATCATCTGTGTTTCTTGCACTTCCAGATATTATTGTTAAATGACATGATGATTAAATTGTTCTACGAGCTCAGTCCATCAGTGTAATTTGAAACTAAGCAAGAACCTCTGCCACTGATTGCGATTCAGGAAAGCTGTGTTTATAAACATCTATTTTAACCACTACTTCTCAAAACACTGATTTCCCAAACAGATGTTGCAAAGAAACAATGCAGGATCTATCGACTAGTAATCAATTCCTGGTTTTCTCTTCTCTTGTACGCCAAATAAAACTATGCGTTAATGTAAGGCTAAATGTCAGCGTTGTTATCTGCAGGGAAAAAGAGAAGGAACCTTTGACTACAGTTCCATTACACTATGATTTCTGTGGTGGCAGAGACACTTCAGAGGTTCCTGTCCCAGGTGTGAAATACACCAGGTCAAAATGAAGAGCTGCTGTTTAAAATCCAGACCACTTCCTTGATGCAGTCTGGTGACTGCCTCAGAAACGTTTGAATGGGCACCAACAAGAAAGTTCTGACCTTTGGCGAGGTGGGCAATTCCCTTGGCCAAATTTTGACAAAAGAGACAACCAACCAAGACAACATGCAGGCAGGTTCTCTGACCACAAAGAAAACCAAGTTACTTGCCAGTAACACGGCTCAAACACAATATGCCAAAATACTAAGAATGCAGGCACTGCTGTACCATTAAAGTATCTGAGAACCATAAATACCAGAATAGAATGATTGCTGTTTGACCCTGCCAAATGTGATTCTGCCCTACCCAACCCAAGAAACCCCACTAACGTATCCTATGAAAGGTGGAATTACTGCTTCTGTGTATGCCAACCAAACCAAATTCCAGCCAGTGCCTTCAAGACCTGGAGAAATTCCTTAAGATGCTATCAGTAAATAAAACACATGTAAAAATAAATGCTGGAGGGTTCCGCGATGCAGCATACGATACCATTCGTCTGGAGTTTCATCACTGTAGCTTCACCGAGGACATTTACTTTTGGGACATGCAATGGTAATCCTGAGAGCAATTCACAGTTTGCAAGATCTTTGTATGTCGAGTCACTGTTGAGTAGTAAAAAACAAAAATTTGTTCCAACAAATTAAACAGGTGTTTCTTCCAGATACTAACTGCCTAAAAAGGATGTTTAAACCTATAAAAGATGAGACTTTCTTCAACAACTTACACAGCACTTAAAAGCTTGCTGTAAATTCAAGTACTTTACTTTCATTACTTTCATTGCCTGGTCCAATCTGATTATGATTTTAGCTGAGATTATTCTGTCCTAAGGTGTAACTATAAGAAATTCAATAAATAAGTAGAAAAGGCACCCGTGAACCCTTTCTGGTTTTTTTTCCACTATGCTGGCAGGAATACTCAGACGATTTCTGTCACCTCTGAAGAAGCATTTACTTTTCAGTAGTCTGTTATGTAATATCTGCCAAAGAAGTAATCCACAAAGCTTTTGAAATTACATTTGAAGAGCCAACTGTTTTCCTTCCGACTAACTGATTCTACTCAGCAGATTGAGGTGATTTCAAAAGGGAACTCCAATTAAAGACTGCTCTGCTTTTAACTATTCCCAAATATGTACACTCCAGATAATTAAACTAAAATGTGGTGTCTTCCAAAATCAGCTACAAATATTGCTAGCAAAATACTTAGTGATCTCTTTCTTATTTGTAAATAAAGCGACAGAAAAAAATAATCCCCCTCTTCAATTAAGAATCCAGGTTCAGTGCAAAGGACATTTCAGCCTGCTTGCTGTTTGGAGACAGCAACAGACTTGCTATCCCCTATGAGAGGAACATTCTAGGCATTTAATACTTCTCACAGCCAGGATAATTCAGATCTTTCCTGAAATGGAGGCTGGTTTTAATACAGTTTGAAATGAAAATGCTACAGCAGAGAAGAATATATTCTATCTAATATACCCAAATTCTTTCGTATCAATCTTTATTGTTATTCTAGTCAGTGCATTGGTCTCCAGAGGAAAGAAAAATCTGCAGATCTAGTTACGCAGAATTTTCAAGTTACCATGTAAATTATTTTTTTATGCTTTCATGTGATACCAGCCTCAGGTATGACACAACAGGGTTTTCATAGCAGCTTACCTTCAGGATAACAATCTCGGCTCTCTTTTTAATCTGCATGAAACTACACACAATTTTGCCAGAAACTGTAAACTGTATAGCTCCACAATCTCTTTTTTTTAAGCAAAAGCATCACTAGATGTGGAGTTTGCTAAATGAGACCAGTAACTAGGTTTTCTTCTGGATGAAACTTTGCAATGGTAACATTTTTGAGCAAAACTGGAGAAAACAGTCTGACTCTAAAGGAAGGAATAAATGCCTCTTCTCTAAGCAGAGTGTGCTGCATTTCAACTAAGGAAGTGAAGTAACACAGGATCACTTGCACAAAATTATTTTCTCCAACATACTCTACATATTCTATAGCATAAAGAACTGTTTATGCTACTAAGGTAAATCTAAATGGGTCTTTTACCAGAAGGAGGAGCTTGGAGCTCTCTAGTGGATTAATAAAAAGATGCAATATTCTCCATTTAAAGGATTTCTGGTACGCTTTAAGTCTGTCACAGAAATGTGATGGGTACTGGAAAAAAGCAATACCCTCTTCTATGCCGGCTAAAGTTTCTTGATTATTGTCAAAATGAGTCTGAAATATATGTTATTTCTCTTCTAATTACTTAGGTACTCCATCAGTTCAGTATTTTTTTTTCCTACAAAGTTTTTATTTTACTTCATTCTTGGGATGACACTGAATGGAAGTTTCTTAGTCTGACACTTTAAGTCATATGAACAATAAATAAACACTGTCAGTACAGCCTGAAGCTAGTAGAACAGTAAAGCAAGTGCTTCACTCCACACACCATGTTTTTTGTTCAAGTATTTGTCAGCCTGAATTTGAACAAGATCTTTCAATTCTCTCATCAGTTTAGACAGTCCCAAAAGGCAGAAAAGCAAGCTAAAAAGTTTCACTGATTCCCCCCCGCCCCTCACCCCTTCAAATTCTGGTAAGTGCTACTGTGGCTGGGAATGTGTCTTATGCTATACCCACACTAAGATGCCAAGGTAAGACACTGACATAAAACTGACATATTTCATCCCCAGCCAGAGGACAAAATAACCTCTGTTGTCCTGTCAGGCCATGACTATACTTTGCACACTGAAACTGTATTATTTCGCCTATTTATTTTCTTCATCACATAGTCAGAATACCATAGAAGAATTGAATTTAAGTGCTGATGGTGTTTCATAAAACCATCACAATTCATTTGTACAGTAAGCAGGGAACACCACAGGTTACATGAAGGACACAGTATATATATGTACCTTTTTTCAGCTTTGCCCTTTTTTTCTTGTTCAACATCAGGCACTCCATCTGCAAACATGAACTGTGAAGACAGTTGAAATGTACTTGCAGACACAGCAAAGCACTACTAAGCCTGTTACGCTTTACACTATAGACTTAAAACATTAGTGATCATTGGAAGGTGTAATAATGTAGTCTTGACCATAAAAACTGCCATTGGGACTACGGACACCATCTTTTTAAATGTACACACTGTCATTATACCCAGTGATCTTTAAACCAGTGATTTTTTAATTGGAAAAAAGGTGATGTGATTATCTTTACTCCTCTTTCCTCCCACTGATAATCCCAGCAATTTTTAGGCCCACTGCCCTATTTTAACTGACAGGTGGGTAGAAAAACACAAAAGACATTCCATCAAAATCTGAAGCTATATTGAGCGGAATTCTAAGGCTTTTGCTCAGCTGTGGACCATGATGTAGAGGTAAAAATATTCCCAAAGATACAGAGGAAAAAGACAGCACCTAGCACATTTGGGGGTGAGAATCTGAAAAGACTGATACCAAACAAAGTCATGGAATCCTGACCTTAATTTGTCCATTATTCACCAAGTAACTTGAACTTCACATTATATCACAAATTTATGACAGAAAGAATTAGAGACGGGTATGTTCTCACTGGATCTCCAAACTTCATTTTACCATTCCTCAAATACTTTTAAGGTTTTCTCCATGTTTAGTTTTTGTCTTTCTCACAGCATTATTAGTTGGAAAAGTCATCAAAAAACCAAAACCCCCAGATCACCCCAAACAGTCGAATACTTGCAATAAGTGTTCTGTCTCCCCAGGTCTGCACAGCTAGTTTTCCATCCACATACGGGAAAAGGTTTGTTGATATAAATATATGTTTTATGTATTTACTGTTGTCCAACACAGCACAGAAAAGCAAACGTTAGGTCACTGATTTTATAAAGCCACACGTTATTTAGTAGCCCAACAGGGACTGACCTGGCAATACTACAACGAGTACCACACCTCCAGTAACCTATGGTATTCAACAGACCCTTTTACCCTCTGGAAGAGGTCAGGGAAGAAAACGGCACTGTTCACTTTGTGCATGAGACGTTTGCAGCCCCAATTCAGTCTCCTGAAGGAAGCATTTCTATCCTGCTTTTAAATAATGATTTTGCCAGGGAAACTGATTCCCTACTGTCTGATTACCTTATCAATTACTTACCAGTTTTAGCCATGTGAATTTTACAGTTAAAACCATTATTCACTCTTGAAGTAGTGGAACACAGTAAATGCTATCAGCAGCTATGCCTGAGCGGCAGCGAGTTGTAAATTCCAACCCATTATCAAAGAAGTAAATAGTATAAACCTTCAAGTCTTAAAAGACCTAGACTTATTATCTAGAGGAAGGAGGACAGAGAGAGAGTAGAAAGGTCAGATAAAGTCAGTGAGCATGAAAATGGCTTAATGTTCCCTCTGAACCGCCAGGATGTCAGTATGTTAATGTAATGGCCCTTCTGCCCAAGTAACGAGCCACAGAATGATCCTCCTCCGATGTGTGACGGCTGTGCAGCTCCTCAGCTTTCCAACACCACCCACCCTTCTGTGACTCTGGTGAGAAACACTTAACACCAACTTTTAAGAACAGCTATGTTATGTAAAAACGTCACATACGCACAGTAGTACTCTTAGGTGTTCACCCAAACAGTAATTTTCATACAACTGGTAATACAGAACTACTGTAACAACTGATAGAACAGTATCTTGTTTCCTTTCAAATCTGCAGATGAATTATTAGTGACAAGGTAAGAAAACAAGTTCTGTCAAGCAAAACATATTGTCAATAGCACAGTAATCTCTGAAACGCTGATATTCTTTTTATTACAGGAAATTAAATATTTTGTTGCTAAAACAGCATTGGTAATGAAAATTATCTGATTACACCGACTATCATTTCTTAAACTATTTAGTGACAGAAAGCATGATTTCCCAGTACCTTTTCATCCGTGTCAAAACTCTTTAAAAGATCATCTGGTTCTCTCAGTTGCCTATCTTCAAGAAAGTCCTCAGCAACACCTCCCAAAGGACTGCTTCCTCCGGGGAAGTTGTGGGTTCTAACACACTTATCTGGAAATGCAGAAACACATTACTTGGTGTTTCCCATGCTACAAGACAACAAAGCTTATCTTTCCTAAGTATTATAAAACCTTAATACTAATGATATTTAAGAACTCCTAGGACTTCCTAAATGTGAAATTTATATGTAAAATCATTTCACCTTTAAAGAACAAACTATTTCAAATAAATATTAAGCTGAATCTGCAATTAAAATTCTATCCAAGCTCTAAGTCCTGCAAAGGTCTCTGTAGAACAGTACAACAGGTTTATTTTTATCATACTGAATTCAATATTTTAGAAATAAATTCAGTTAAGCTTTGTTAGTAAAACACAGCCAAAGATATGTACGGTAATTTGCTAAGCAAATAAAGACTTAGTCTTTGCTGGAGAAGGGGATGAGTTAATTGTAATGACATGATGCAACCCTGAACTGAATGCAAACAGCTCTGAGAAACTCTAAATTCCTGTAACACAGTAAACTCAATGAGAACTCAGTGTTAGGAAATTTCAGTACCTTTTGCAGATGCTACAGGAAATGAAAAGAATACCTGACTGCAGCTTTCTGAAGCAGCTGTTTACACACAATAGAAGAGCTCCGCATAGAAAAGAAATTCACTATTTCACTGGATCACAAGAATGAATTTCAACTGTATTGAGTTGTCCAGATACAGGAAGAAAGAATCATATTATTACTGGAAAGGCTTTTATCTTAGAGTCGCTGGTCTCTGTGTGATCACCAGTACAAGACACATCTGTGTGAAATGTACACAAGATTTCCACTTGAAAGATGAAGAGGATTGATGTCATCCAGAACACCTTAACTGTAGTATTCGTTGCCCTCCTTAGACTGTAAAGTCACCGAGACAAGCAGCCACGACCTCATTACCAAAGCAAAAATACATATTTCTGAATAAATGAATAAATTGTCAGTAATTACCAAAACCAGGCACCTTTCTTTTGTCCCATACAGGTCTTTCTAAAAGCCATACATCAAACATAAGTTACCACATGCACATTAATCTGAGAGTGTGATGTGATCCTAAGTTTCTCAGATCAGGGAAGAAGCACTTACCCCAACCTTTTTCTTCATTTTAAGTACCACGAAAAGACCTGAAGACTTTTAGCATCAAACTTTGTTAGAACATGAAGTAAAACAACACACACTCTTAAGAAAATGCAGAAGTTACTGAACAGTACAGGACTTGCTCCCAGGTTTGGGTTCAATCACCTCAGTACTACTCTTTCCATCACCAGAGGCCAGACTGTGTACTTTCTCCCTACTCCTCCTCAGGGAACTTGTGTCTATTTCTTGGCATCTGAACCATTAAACACTCATTACCTTTTATTTTGCCTTCTGATCGCTGAAGTCTTGAACCTTTCTCTCCCCAAAACAGTCATTATTCACCCCTTTTCCTCCAGGAGGCTACATCTGCCCAAACCACTCACTCTTCCTACACGAACACATTAATATGAGAAAACTAGCACAAGAGGTACTGTCACACACACTTTTCAAGCCTGCAGCAAAATCAACACGTTGTCAGAGTACCAGATTAACAGCAAGTCGACAAACGGACACCAGAAAGGGAAACACCAAGAACCTTCAAAAACCAGTCATGGCACCATGCGCCTTCGCCAATATATCGGTAATGGGCTTCTGTTCAAAGTCAAAATCCTGTTCCTCCAACCTATCTAAGAGAAACTTCCACATCAGACATACTTTGCACAGTCGGTCTTTATGCAAGCTGTACAAAACAAGCCAAATCACATTCAGATGCTTCCTAGGTGGACAGTTCTGCTAAAAATAGGAAGAAAAAAACATTATGTCAGAAGTATCCATCTCTCAAAAAGTAAGAATCCTTCAGAAACTAAACAGTCTGTCAGAAGAATGGGCACAGTATCTGCAAAAAAACCAAAGGCACAACGGGGGAAAAAACCTGTTATAAAATTGTGCCTGCTGAGGAACACAAGAGAACCCCAAATGAGAGGATGAGTCAGACTCCAAAGCAGCATCACGGTACTCAGTGTCTTACCATCAGCTCATCAACTAACAGAATTCCTTGCCGAAATTGTCAGAGACATGTCAAAAAACCCACAACCAAAACCAAACAAAAAACCCCAGTACTATCAAAGGACAAGTACTACAGAGAGGCAGATGTTCCATGTAGGGCTCAGGTTTGTACCATTTCAAAAGACATCCATTATGTATACATTAGGAAGCAAATTGTTGCTACTATAAAAACATATTATCATAGAATCACAGAATGGTTTGGGTTGGAAGGGGCCATCCAGTTCCAACCCCCCTGCCATGGGCAGGGACACCTTCCACTAGACCAGGTTGCTCAAAGCCTCATCCAGCCTGGCCTTGAACACTTCCAGGGATGGGGCATCCACAGCTTCTCTGGGCAACCTGTTCCAGTGCCTCACCACCCTCTCTGGTAAGAACTTCTTCCTGATATCCAATCTAAACCTCCCCACTTTCAGTTTAAACCCATTACCCCTTGTCCTGTCACTACAGGCCCTTGTAAAAAGTCCCCCCCAGCTTCCTTGTAGCCCCTTCAGGTACTGGAAGGTGCTATAAGGTCTCCCCGGAGCCTTCTCTTCTCCAGGCTGAACAAGCCCAACTCTCTCAGCCTGTCCCCATAGCAGAGGGGCTCAGCCCTTTGAGCATCTTTGTGGCCTCCTCTGGACTCGCTCCAACCGAGTCATATCCTTCTCATGTTGGGGGCTCCACAGCTGGATGCAGCACTCCAGGTGGGGTCTCACCAGAGCAGAGTAGAAGGGGAGAATCCCCTCCCTCGACCTGCTGGCCACACTTCTGATACAGCCCAGGATACGGTTGGCTTTCTGGGCTGCCAGCGCACATGGACGGCTCATGTCCAGCTTTTCATCCCCCAGTCCCCCCAAGTCCTTCTCCTCAGGGCTGCTCTTGGTCCACTCTCCCCCCAGCCTGTACTTGTATTTGGAACAGCCCTGACCCAGGTGCAGGGTGCATTACCACACCGACAAGTTCTCATTTCATGTAGAAAGCAGAAATCCTAGCTTTTGCCACTGAACATCTTCATGATTACCTCCTTCTCCTGATTTTACAGTCATAAATCTCCAGAGACTCTTACCTTTTAGTACCCAATCACAGGAATTTTCAATATCATTTGACGTTCCAGATTCTTGTGTGGTAATGCGTCTGTTTTGAACAGAAAGTGTATTTAAGATTTTCATCTTGCACAAAAGCAGAATTAACCTAACCAGTCATGTAAAATCAAAGGTCTGGGTAATACTTTTAGCTATGAGCAGAACCCTTATGTACTGTTGTAAGACTGTTCTTAACTCTCTCTTTTGGCTTTCCTATGTCCCCCTGGAATCAACCAGGTACCTCCCTCGCAGAGCCTCAGTGCTTTGGTTTCAAAATGAAAGCACCTCAGAAAAGATTCCTTTCCTCTTTTGCACAAGGGTTTAACGAAGGGGAAAGGATAAGAAGAGCAAAGAGTAAAAAAAAATGAATGCAGTTATTAAGATAGTACAATGTTGAAAATAATTAATAAATTATTTAAAATAAGGAGAAGGTAAAGCCCCTCTCCCCACCCCAAAAGAGCAGAGGAAGAAAATTAAAACATCCTTCCCAATAAAAGAACTAATCTTCAGAGGAAAATCTTGTATCTATGTTTTATGCTATTCTTCGTAAGATGAAAAATTTAATCTTAAAGCTCATTTATCAAACACAAGCGCCAAAGCTGAGAGAGAAAATAGCTAAACAGTTGATGAGTCCACCTATCCCACGAAGGACTACCTCTTTTACCAAAGTTTGCTTCTACTTTAAACTTCTCTTCCCTCTTCAGTGACTTTCATTATCATCTCAAAACCCAGAAAAACATTAATGCCTAATAACTGACACCAGGAACCTGCTGAATGAATATGCAGGATCATAAACATCTGGAACGTGTTAGCCGAATCACAGATTTGAAAATTATTTATGTCTGGGGATAGGAGAAAAGCAGGCAAGGAGAACGGCAGAATGGAATACTACTGTAGAGTCAAACATTTACACATACAGACCCAGCAAAAAAATAAGCTACACCTAGAAAGTAAAACTAAATAAATTTCTAAGTATTATGCCACTTTACAACTAAAAAAACCTACCCTCCAAAGCATATGTGCTACTGCGGATCAAGTCAGATATTTTAATATTTTAAAGTTACTTATTACGAATATTACTCTTAATTAGCTTTGTTTATACTTCCATATTTCATTTCACTTGGCCTAAATCAACTCTTCAGCACTACATTTTCCTTCAATTCAAGGTTTACCCTAGTTCTTATGAAGTACATATTAATTTATCTGCATTCAGAATACTGTCATACCTCAAACAAATTTTAACACTTAAAACCAACCCAGAAATTAGTGAAATTCTGTCAGGAAGCCTGAACACTACAACCAAAGTATACTGATAAGAGAACAAAGTACTTAGGATTACTGTAATAGAAGGAATGACATGCATACCTAAAATTATCATCTAGTGAATGTGTGTCTTCGGAGATAACAGGATATTCAGGCTTATGATCTTGCTTTGTGTCTTTAATGCAGATGCTAGTATAGGATGTCTTCACAGGAAAATTTTCACAGCCTTCAAGAGCAAGATCCTCTTTATTACTGGTTCCAAAAAGTTCAGGGTCATCCTGAATCACATCAATGACAAGAACATCTTCTTTGTAAGCTTCAAGGATATCTGGAAAATGTTGACTTCTGTGCTGTGGAAGATTCCCTCTTGATCTGCTGTCATTATTTATTTCTAATGCAACAGGGTGTTCAACTGAATTCCAAGAATAATCAGGAAAATTAGATTTTAGTACACATTCAGTACCATGTAAATTGGGCACAGATGACTCTAGCTGTCTGTCAAGAAAAGGTTGTGGATAGGAACTAAAACATTCAGGGACTGCAAACATCTCATTTGAAAGGTTTCCAGAACCAATGTGCTGAAATCCCGTACTATGGATCTCATCCACTTTTTTCTTCATGGAAGCTGTAGACGTAGCATCACTCGCAACAGGAAAACGCTGCTGCTTGGAATTTACCAAAGAAGTCTTTTCAGCCATTTTCTGCTTTCTTGAAACACTAGTGCTCTCAAGAAGCTCTAGTGGACTACAGGTTTTTCTTTCCAATGAATAGAGAGATTCCAATTTCCTGGGTTCAGGTTTGTTTCTGCATAAAGGAATTTTGAATTTTGTCATGTTTCCAGTGTTTAACACTTTCATTTGATTTAAATCAGAAAATGTCTGGTTCACTACTGATACTTTACGGCTCAAGTTTACTCCGGGCTTTTTTCCTGAACATGTACCATTCTGGACTGTCACAGACAAGTTTCTTTTCCTTACAGCTTCTTTGCTTTTATGTTTTTGTTTTGTTGTAAAATTCAAGGTTGCTTTAACTCCTTGCACATCATCATGGTCTAAAGTCTCAGCACTTCTATCCGTATTAACTGGAGATTCCAAATTTTTATTGCTCGTTCTCAAAGATTCATAAATATCCACAGAAGAGGATTCTGGTGCTTCAAGTGCAGTCAGACACTGAATATTTGGATCCATTATTTTATGTGTAGATTCTTTGTCAATTTCTGCCGATGACATACACAAATCCAACCCTTCCAAATTCCCAGTCACAGCACTGTTTCCTACAGCTTTAGCACTGCTTTTATCAGAGGATTTCTCGAAGACAGCCCCTAAAAGTCTTTTTCTTTCTGAGATGGATTCATGATTTTTACGAACCCATACAGAAATCCTGGCACAAGATTCAACAGGCCAAACACGTTTACTGGTCATAGGTACTGTTCTTTGACAGGAAAACTGCTGCGATTTCTTATTAACTTTGTTCCGTTTCCCATCTGTCTTGCTTTTGTGACAATTAGAACCATCACGGACCCGAGCTACCCCTCTCAGGCTACCTGAGGCAGCAGAATGATGCGCCACACTCTCTGAATTTTCTTCTTTCGCTATTACAGACAGCTCAGGTGTCTTCTTAAAGCCCTCTTCAAATGCAAGTAGTTCGGTATTAGTTTTTCTCCAGACTGATGTATTTTGTGCTTCATGAGTATTTCTTCCTGTATGAAGATTTGATGTATGATCATATGAAGCTGACAGACTAATTTCTTTGGGATTCAGCCCCAAGACTGTGAAGGAGCTTGACGTGGCAACTGCCGCTTCTGTTTTTAACTCACACTTGCTGCATTCATTAGCCGTATCTGTGAAAATATTCTGCACTGCTGGTTTCTCAGTGATTTTCATCTTTCTTCTATGCTTTCTACCAATCTTCCCCTTTTCCCCCCTTAAAGGCTTACTGTTTTCACCCTGGCAGCTTGAAAAACACCCTCCTCTGGTTTGAGTTTTTTCTTCTTCATTAAACAACAAACCACCTTTTATGGGTGATCTCTCCTCTTCTGTTCTACTAGTGCTGCAATTCATATCACTCTGTTCCACAGCATCATCAGCAAGAACATCCTTTCTCTTATCCTGGGCTGCATGTAAGAATCCACTTATTTTACAACTGCTGGTAGTTCCACTAGCTGAAGAGTTTACAAACGTATTGATACAGTCCTCTAAACTCACAAACGGATTCTTTACTGTTGCACAGAGCAAGCCGTCACAATGGTTTAGGGCATTTCTGCCATGTTCAGCATCACATTTTGCAGATCCATTTGTCACTTTTTCAGCTGTAGTTACGCTAGAACTGCGCAAGCCCTTGAGTTGATTAGTTCTGGGTTTCCTTTTTTTATACTGCACACCAGACTTTTTTGTTACAGGATGGCACGGAAAGCTCTTGGTTTGAGGCTCACCTAAAGTAGCCACCGTAGGAGACCCAGAGTAGTGAGGTTCCTTTTCCTGGGAATCTTCTGATCTGTTTTGATTTGCCTTAAGCTTCTTCACAGCCTGCGTACCAGAGTCTTGCTCAATCACTTTCCATCTTCCCTTTGCTGATTAAAAAACAAAGTAGTGTCATTAAAGAACATGCTAAGGGAAAAAGATTACCCTACTACAATATTTTATAAGAACAAAAAAACATTCCAGGCTGCTAAAGAACATGTCACTGTATATAGCGAAAACATCGCTGTAAAGTTTTACCACTGTTTTTTTTAGATGAGCATTATCAGCAGACTTACAGCAACAAATAATGTTTTGTCTTCAGAAACAAATGCAAAGATGGACAGAACCTTAAGATGTCCTAAGGACACCGGAGGTTGTATATTTAAAACATAGGTGGAAACCAAATTAGAGCAAGTCTGGCAAGAAAATGCAGATGCTGTTTACACACTTGGCCTTAAAATCTGTTGTTTACACAGTAGATTCTCCATAATAGGAAAGCTCGTTCATAAGAGCATAAGTGATTTATTTCAGATATACAGTCCAACCAAATGCATCAAGACTGTTGAAGAAGATCCAGGGAAATTGCAGGACTTGCATTTTTATAAAGTACTACTTTTTATTTAAGAGCAAATACAGATAATGTAGAAAACTGCACATCTGAAAATTTTGTCTGGTGGACGGACTGAAGAATCTACTAGTCAAATGTTGGGGTTTTTTTTTTAGATCTTAGTTTTTAATGTAAGCGATACATTTTAATACTGCAGTCTTGGAATATGGCTTCTAGCTAAAATATTTATTAATAATAACTCACAGCAAATATTAGTCGTTTGAATGTAACCACTTTCAAAGTAAAATGAAAGTCTTTTATACAATTGTCCTGAAAAAAAAAAACCTTTTAAAAATCCTTTCAAAATCCTTTCAGTTTGATACAACGCTCTCTTAAAACACCAAAATACAATCTCTTTTTTAACATCTTTTAGATTTTGCAGAGGATAGTAACTAAAAAGCAAAAAATTCTGTAAACAAAACCCAGCATCCCATAAAGGCAAGCACTAAAACAAGACAGCATGATAAGTATTCAATAATAATCAAATAATATACAGATGAATGAAGAATTGACTCTTTCTTATTCTGGCTTTGCTGAAACTACTGCCTCCTTTCCTGTTTGACCCTCACCTTTTACACATAAATGAACAGGCTGTTTTTCAGGGGGAAAAAAAAAAAAAAAAAAATTTACTCAGGGCCTGTTGCTGCCAATACCCTTTCCTCCCCCCACCCCTCAAAAGGATATCTGGCCTCCTCTCCTTTGTGCTAAACAACTGCTCTTCTAAACAATTAAAAAAAAAAAAAAGGAAAAAAAAAAAGCCATTCCTCCTCCTAAAAATCTGTTTTCTTCCCAGACTGGAATTCACGGTCCTGTAGAGTAGACCCAAGCTCTTATCTTGACACTTCCTGAGCTAAGTTAGCATCCACACACTAAGAGTCTCTTGGAGATAGGGTACAGAAAACTCTTTCCTGTCCCCATGATCCCATCCCACAGAGACAGATCTGCAAAAGAAAAACTACCTCCTGTTTTTTCACCTTCTAATGGGATCTAACTGCAGCACCAGTCCCTTGTCCTAGGAGTCCAAATTCTGCACCTCTACTTCTACAATGGGGCAAAAGTGCATACACCTTCTCCCAGGCTGTTTGCTCCTTTCTGAGGGTTTGAGCTCTGCTGTTGTTTCATCTAATACTTGTGCATCTTTCCTCTGCTTGGTTTAGGCCACTTAGATCCTACAGCTGCCCTGCCACCAGTGCATTTCTGTCCCTCTTCCTCAGCCTCACAGGCTCTTTCTCGGCCTCGGGACACTCTGTATGCAGTTCTAGCAAGGAACTTCTACCTTGTTCTCTGGGACCTTGTAGTTCTGGTTTTATCAAAGACGTTCCACCTTTCTTCCTCAAGTACCTCTTTCCTTTCTCCTGTGCCCCTGGCTTTCCTGATCCAATTAAAGAACACCCATCTAAGTTCTCTGGCATATCTATCTCTTCCTCAGGCTTTGGCTCAGACATGGACTCCTGAGTCCCCAAATTCTTCTTAAGATCTGGGGTTTGCATCTTTACTACGATTATGGAGTCAGCGCTTTTTATTTCAGTACTACGTGTGCCCTTTCTGGGTTGCAGCACCTCTGGTTCTGGCAACCCCGTAATGCAATGTCTGTCTGACCTCTCAATTTCCTCCCCTAAGGATGGGATTTGTGATTTTATTTCCATGAAAGAATATTTGCCTTTTTTTTCCCTGAAGTCTCCCAGAAACCTGACAGGTTCAGTCCTTCTGAGCTATGTTCTTTCCTTTCAATCCCAGCTGAGAATTTATTTTGTGAAGTAGTTCCTGAGAATAATAGCTATTGACCTTGTCCTGTCCCTCTCCTGACAGTCTCTTCCCAGCACACTGCTGCAGCCATGGTCGATGCCTGCCAATCTTCACACACAGCAGTGTATGAAATTGGCAGAGCTACACCATTCTTGCTTCTGGCAGCCCTCCAACACCGTATCCCCTTGGTTTTTTTACCTGGGCGTCTCTGGCTACTCTCACCTTGCTCCTCCTGCACAGGCACAGGAGGAGCATGTTGCTCACAGGGAACACTGGAGAGCACGTCGGGTTGCAGACAGGAAGACAAGGGCTGATCCAGTTTTCTCTTTGGTGCCTTGCGAGGACTCTGCTTGACCACCAACTTCTTCTTTGGCTCACGTCTTACCCCCGCACCCGGATGACTTGGGCTGGTGACCATCTCGTCAGCCGACTTCACCTCAGCGGCAGTTACCACTTTCCCCAACCTTAAGTGCGGCATCGCGGGAGTCTAGAACCATCAACAAAATAACCCACTCACCAGTGCCCCTCTGACAGCGCCCCTGCTAGCCCAGCACCCCAGGTGGGCACAGGGCCCACCAGGAGGGAGGCACAACTTTCCCCAGGCTAATGCCTCAGGGGTCACCCCGGGGGA